GGCAGAGCTCAGGCTGGCAGTGCCTAACCCCAAGCCACCAGTGAGAGCACAGCCACGGTGCCTCTTACCTGTGAGATGCAGCGCAGGTACCTGATGGCCACTTCGTTGGCAATGAGCTGCTGCCCATTGTAGATCTCCTTGCAGGGGATTCGGGCGAGGACCCGCTGTATCTCCCCCTGGGAGAGGCGGGGGTGGCTGGCATTGCCCAGGCTCTCCACGGGCACCGAGGTGCAGAAGGCACAGGTGATGCACTTGCCGTCCAGCAGTGTCACCGACACCCAGACCGCGGGGGCGATCATGGCCCGCTGCGCCATGGAGCAGAACATGTAGCGCAGCACGGCCGGGTCCTTCCCCCGCCGGCCCTGCGGCCGCCGCCACTCCTCTGCCAGCATGGAGATGTTGTTGTTCAGCACAAAACCCAGCAGGAACAAGATGAACGGGGGCACCAGGAGGATGCCCAGCCCGTAGGCGAGGTTGTAGTGCGGCAGGCAGGGGCAGTTGAAATCAAAGGCTGAGTACATCTGGGTGCTGGCAAGGGCCATGATCCCACAGATGCCATTCATGAAGGACTCCTGGTTGGACTGGAAGAACTGGAAGATCATCCGAAACTTGTCCATCTTCGCTTGATTCCTTCCCCTGCCAGGGTCCAAGCTGTGGCTTCAGTCTATTTCATTCTTTCAGATCTCCTCTTCAAAGATGGCATCACTAAGTTTCTGTGCAGTCCACTGTTTCATTCATGCACTCTTACAACCCCACTATTTAAAGCAGAAAATTAACTTTTTTTTCTGATGATTTTGCTGCCTACAGAAGTTTAGAGTTTGCTTCCTGCTGCTCTTTGGATCTGGGACCTGGGTGGTTTCTGGTTTGCAAAACCTGATTTCATGCTTCTCCACATCCCCATTTCTGCAGTCTCCCAGCCACCAGCTCTCTTTGCTGGAGGGTGCAGGTGTTACCATGGCTGTGTCCTCCCCAGATCACTTTGTGCCCTGGGCAGAGTTGGCTGATTGGCCTCTGTGAACCTGTTTGCAAATGCAGGGAGTGGGTGCTCCTCCCAGGACTGAACGGGACACCCCACCTCTGCAGTGCTAGCACACATGGAAAAACTGGAATCCAGAGCTTCCCCCTTCCCTCCGTGTGTCTGCCTTGCCTCAGCTGCACCTGAGGAAAGTACCTTGCAGGTCTGCCAGCCCCTAATTCTGGACCTGCTTCACTGGGAAATAACTCTTCTTTTTTATTCAGCAGAGGGAAGGGAAAAGACAAGGAAAAGCAGAGGAAGGAGAGGTAACAGTTAGGCAGGGCTTGGCTTCTACAGCACAAATCTAAAAGAATGGATGGTGTTGATGGTGCTCTCCTGCATCTTGGTTCCCAGTTCACAAAGCAGCCTCGGTGCACTCAGTTGCTCCCTCAAGATGGCCAAAAGATGGGAGAATACAAGTGTCTGTAAAACAGGTGGTGGCAATTGCTCAGTTGTTCCTGTCCTGGCACCACCTGAGCTGTTGACGTGAGGATCTGACTGGGCACCAGTGTGACTGCAGTGGTGACTGCAAGGGAAGCTGTACATAGGTGGGTGCCACACGGAAGACACAAGAGAGGTACTTTTCCCCAAGGTTTTGCAGTGTGTCAGAGCTGAGCTAGGAAGCCAGACCAGGCTTTTTGACCATTAGTCAGCGACCATTACTCTGCCCTGCACCAGTCCTGGGCTCAGCTGATTATGCTGAGCTCACCCTGAGATGCCACCAAGAGGTGAGCACAGAGCACGGGTAATACCTGAGCAGTCTTAGCTCTGCCTGCTGTGGAGAGGCTAATTGCATGATCTCATCAAATGGGAAGAGATTTTGCGGCGTGAATATAGATGAGGCCTATTGTGTTGCTAGCTTAGAGCTCAGACTGGCTTCTCTATTCACCTGACAAGTGGCTTTTTGAAGGGCAGTTCACATCAAAGCCTGTGTGAATCAACCCTGTAAAAATCTGAGAGCTTTTTGATCTCCAGGAAAACCCTGCCTTTTATTAAACATGAATGAAGGGCCTGAGCCTGCTTGGTGTACAGCACTACAGTTCTCACTGAAGCCAGCAATGGGTCAGTGGAAATCAAAAAAGAGCCCACAGAAGACAATGCCTGGGTCTTTCTTTCCATGCTGCCTTGTTAGGAAGAACTTTGGTTTCATGAGCTTCCCAACAGAAAGTTCACTGTAACTGACTTGCAAGGGAAGGCAGAGCTGATGATTCCTCCCAAATCCCAACTTATTTGTGCTCTGGAAACCCTGTCCTGAAAGCGATGGTACATGCCCAATTTCCTCCCTGGACTTGTTCCTGTACCTGCACACCAAGACAGACTCCAAGGTGTGGAGTTAAGGGGGGCTTTGCAAGTCCCAGTCAGTGTAGGATATAGAAAGGAGGGATGTGAAAACAGTAACAACTCCCATCAGGAGAGTTTAGGAAGTGACTGGGGAAGCTGTCTTTGCAGTCAGCTCTGCTGTTTCACAGGTTCTTGGCAGGTGAGGGTCCCTAAGGATGCCAGACACAGCTGCAGGTCAGGCATCACAACAGCCCTGAGAGACAGACAGCTGCTAAAGTTTGTGAATGACCCTCTCTGTCCCAACTCCCACAGGAGGGTACACACTCTTAACAGACCTGGTGGGAAGAGACCTCTGGAGATTTTTGGGTGCACCCACCACTCTCTGCACAAAGCATGTTCAGGCTCACATATAATCAGGATGTGAATATTTCCATAGATGGAGGTGCCATAGACATTCTGGGCAATCCTTTCCATCACCCTCAAAATCAATGTTTTCTTCTGTGTAAATGGAAATTTCCTGCATTTTGGGTTTATTGCCTCTTGTCCTGTCATGGGGTGCCAGATACCACTTTCCACAATGGAGAAGAGTTCTTGGGCTTTAGAAGGAAACACAGCAGGAGACTCAGGGCTGCTGGGAGGAATGAACACCCACAGCCCCAGCCAACTGGAGCTACTCCATAACCAGACCAGACTCTCCCAGCAGCACGTTAACTTTTGTAGACCTACAAAATCTATGGCAGCATCCTTAAACCCTTCTGTTTTCTCCCACCTGGTACAGATAACAAATCTGTTCCTCTTCCCCCTTTTAGCCTTTCATATCTTGTGGCCACACTGGGATGACTTAAAACCTGAGAACATGGAAAGCAGCATGGAAATGAAGCTGCAGACCTCAGCTCTGAGCATGTTAGGAAAATACCCAATTTGACTAGTGTGGAGTGGTGAGTCCAAACTGAGCTGCAGCCTCAGACTTGTGATGTCATGTCTGACAAAAGTAAACCAGAGACACAATTCAAGGTGCAATGCTGATTTCAAAGAAGAGCTCAGGAGCTCCCTGGATCTAAAGAGCTCCTGGGGACAAGACCATTGTGTTTTTCTCTACCAGCATGGGCCACAGCTGGCTCTGTGCACTCTCCCAGCATATCCAAGGGAGCTCAGGGATTCATCCAGATCTGATTTTGCTATGCAAATAAGAAAAGCTCTGCAGCCCATCCCTCTGCACCCTGCAGCTCCTGATTGGCCCTCAGTGGGCAAAGGGGTGCAGCTGCTCATGGGTGGGCTATGGAGTTATTTTGCCTCCCAATATCTCCTCATTCTCTGGCACATACAAACACAAATCCTGGGCAGGAGGTGACCCACCTGCCAGCAGCTTGACAAGTCAGTTTGGGGGGTTAATATTTTTATTTTGATCCCTCATTTTGAATTTAGTCCCAATGTGGTGGCAGGTTCCTCTGCCCCTATCCCACCCTCTTCTTTCCTCCTGGAAGCCTTGCTTGCCCCATCTATCCATGCATGCCCAAGGAGATATTTCTTCTTCACTCCCACCTCCCCCAGCCCCTCCATGTTGCACCTCTCCCTCCAAGAGACAAAGTGGGCATCAGTGTGAGGTTCAGCCTGGAGGAACAGATGTGTCTGTTCTGGGTTACTTTGCAGTAAAGACTTTAATGCATCCAAGCAGCAATGCTGGACAGAAGTACCAGTCAGACTGGCACGATGTACAATGGGGGCTGGAAAAAGAAGGTGAGAAAGAAAATATCATCAAAGGCTCAGAGGTAAGGTTACATCCAAACAGTTTTGAAACTATGGATGGAAATGCCCAAATAGGTGTTGCAAGGTGTTGCAAGGATGATCAAAAGCGCAGGTCAGTTTGTACTCAAATCTAGCAGGGGAGCATTTTAAAGTCTGTGCTCAGACTTCTCAGGCAGAGTCAGTGTGTCCTTTCCATGGCTTAGCACCAGTGCTTACAGCAGCTACCTAACCCCCAGCATAGCCCCGCGGTTGTGTTTTGCAAAGCCTCCATCTCCTGCTCCTTCTGCAAATCCAACCCAATCCAATCCTTATTCAGAGGTGTCTTCAACTAAAGTTATGCTGCTCCATGAATTTCAGTGTGTTGCCATATTTCATTTTTAAAATGCATGGAAGTATTGATGGGTTGTGAGAGGAAGGCAGAAGAGTTTGGCAGCTGGGCTGGGGCAGCCAGAGCTCTCAGCAGATGGGAAGACATAGGAGGTGGTTTTGCCTTTTTGAGTAAATATGTTGGTGTGGTATTAAGAGAGTTGCCAATTAAATAATTTCTGTGTCAGCTCTGATAACCCTTTGAACCAGGTTTCACTGGAATGGGCAGGAGCCCCTCACACCTCTGTGTGTGTGTGGTTTGTGTATGCAGCCAGACGCTGCTGCCATGGTTAAATCCTTCCTCAAGCCAGAACACTTTTATCACAGACGTAAGAAGCTGCAAACTCTTTGATATGACAAAAGTGCCCCAAGGGCCCTTGGCTGAGAAATGTCATTAACAGTGACTGCATCTGGGACCCCTGGACCCTCAGAACTAGCTGACTTTGGAGGTTTTGCTAGGCATGCCCTGGAGCAGAGCTTTTGAGGTTGGAGATCTGGAGGAAGGTATAGCACCACTGTCATCTGCCCGCTGTGCTTGCTTTGTGCAGAGGTTTGGCAATGCTCCTTCTGTGCCTGCAGGACAAAGCCCCCTTTACACATTGGAGTGCTGGGGGAAATTAGAGTGGGTGCTGGCCTTGACTGCCCAGGGCAGAGGGGATCTCTCTCGCACCAGGGGATGCCTCTGGTGTGCCTGGCTGACATCCAGGGGAGGTTTCTCATAGTACCACGTTTTCAGGAGTTTGTTCACCTGGTCCCGATCTGTGATACCCTGGAGAAGACCTTCCCCTCCTTCAGCCCTCTCTCCCTCCCTAGGCAAGCTGAAGCTGTGCAGTTTGATCTCTTGCCTCATGCTTTCGAAGAAGTGGAGGATGCATTTGTGAGCAAAGAGCCGGCTGTGCTCACAGCAGGTTTCCTCAAAAATCTTTTGTTCAATGTCAATGTAGTTGCTCCAGTGACGTGCCTGCAGGAGGGTGGCCTGGTTGAAGCAAGGTCTGAGCCAGCGGGCAAGGAAAGCTGCTATGATCAGGATCAACAAAATGCTCCAGCCAAGTGCCTGTGTGATAAGAAAGAAGCAGTGAAACAGGAGCAAGACAGACACAAGGACAGGCACAAGCTCTTTGCCTGTATCAGAGAGACGGGGAGTTTGTGTGGCTGGAGGGGAAATGTGATGCATCTGGACTCCTGGCTTTGATCTGTCTCTGTAGTCCAGCGCCCCACACTGCACCCAGAGGGTGAGTGTAATTTCCTCCCAGAGAATATGGGATATTTATCTGTGCATGAATCATTCAGTAAGGATAACTGATTGCAAAGTTGCCTGGAGCAGACAGGCATTTGCTATGAGCATAAGAGTACCCCAGGGAAAGGGGACTTCAGTGCTGTCCTTCGGCATTTCCTTATCTCCAGTGATCTTCATCTGCCACCTACAGACTCCAGGGCCCAGGAGTCCCCCCTGCAGCATGAAGACAGCCCAGACTCTGGGAAGCTCCCTGGGATAAGAAAGAATGGCTTGTTTTCAATGACCTTCCACCAGTCCCAATGCCTGACCTGGCACTTCAATACCAAGAGCTGAGGCCAGTCAGGGCTCCACTCCCTGCTGTGCCCTGTTCTATTGCTCCTGAGCAAGCTGTTTTCATCTGTCTAAGCTTGCACTGTCCTTAAAACAGTGGGTCCTGTCTACAGGGTTAGCAGTTAGAAGGATCTTTTGGCACTGAGCAGGGCTTTAGGAGATACAACATCTTTTGTTATCTGGGTTTAGAAGCTGCTGGTTCTTCTATTAAACCATTCATAATTTCTTTTTCCCTACCCGACTGGAGATTATCACTTAGGATAGCAACGTTTGGAGGCAAAAAGAATCACAGAGCAGCCTTGCTCCCAGCCTGACCACAATGAAGGGATTGCAAATCAAGGAAGAGCAGGAGAGGATGCCACATGCCTGGTCACCCACCAACACGAGAGGCTCTGCCAGCAGTGACCCACCTGGGACCAGCAGCGCAGGTACCTGGACACTGCCCTGCGGGACGTGTTGTTCCTCACGAGCTCCTCATCCTTGCAGGGCACCTTGGCCAGCAGCTGCTGCACCTGCTCTGTGCTCACATTGGCAAAGCCCACAAACTTCTGGGGATCCATGGAGCCACTGAAAGCACAGATCAGGCATTTGCCATCCAGGAGGGTGACTACGATCCAGACGACAGGGGCAACCATGGCTCGCTGCATGATGGAGGAACACAAGTACCTGGAGCAGCAGAGAGAGGGGAGTGGCAGCTTGCTGGCAGCTTTCTCCTCACCCAGAGCCCTGCAGGCTGTCCTGTGCCAAGCAGTCTTTCCAGACCCAGGGAACTGATTCCCAATCCTGCCCTTACCATTGCTCCCACTGATGCTTCTTCTGCTCTGGGATGTCTTTGTTGGTTCTGCCTCTCAGTGAAACCTGCACTAGCACAAGGCAGGGCTCTGTGTGCTGCCTGCACTCATTGCACAGTCCCCTCACCATGTGCTGGCTTGACTGTACCCTTACATCTCCCATGCACAGATCTTTGTTATCTCTCCTTTGTTTTACATATTCATACTTCCTTTTCTCATCAGTTTCAATCTGGAAAATCCCCTTTTTTTTTGTAGTCTTTCTTGCCCCTCTCTGAGCCAACCTGTGTACTGCATAAAACTTTACATATAACAGATGGAATATGGTTCTCCTCACCCTTCTACCAGTACAAATTAGTAAAAACTCAGATGAAGGGGGAGGGAGACCATGAGGCTTTTGATAAAGAATGACTGTGATGAAAATGCCACACCTTCTGCATATTTAAAAGGAAATGCCTGATGTTTTTGCACATGGAAGCCCCAGAAGACACCCAGAGTGAGTGCATGACAGGGCAGCAGCAATGCAGTTTCCCAGGGTGGTGGCGTAAGCCCAGGTGTTGAGGCACTCCTGCTCTCCTCAGCTGGGATGGAACGAGCCTGCCCCAATTTCTGCTGGATGTAAATGCATTTCCCATACCCCTGCCCCTCCAGGGTCATGGGGAGAGGTCTCAGGAGATGAGCTTACAAGAAAATTAATCTAAGCTGATCAAAGCTATGGAGAAAGACAGTTAGACAGGAGGTGAGAAGAGGAATGCCACTGCCACTGCAAACCCCACCTGATGACAGCTGGGTCCTTCTTCCTGTGCCCCTGTGGTCGCCTCCACTCCTCCAGCATCACCAGGGACTGTCTGTTGAGGATGAGACCACACAGGAAGAGGATGATGGGGGGCACGAACATGATCCCCAAGCCATATGCCATGTTGTACTGGGGCAGGCAGGGGCAGCTGAAGTCCAAGCTGGTGTACATCTTTACACTTGCCAGGGCCAAGAGCCCACAGATCCCGTTCATTACAGACTCCGAGTTGGACTGGAAGTACTGGAAAATCATCCGGAAACGGTCCATGGTGTTCTTTTGGCCAGGGGTGCTCCCCCTGGGAAATCCCTGGGCTGCCCAGAGGGGCTTGTCTCCCTCTGTCCCTCCTTCTGCTGCCACAGGGCAGGGGATGCAGCTCAGCTCCCAGTCAGCAGGAGGATGAGGATGGAAGAGAGTTGCTGTAATGGAGGGAACACCCTGTGCTGGGGCTTCCCCACTGGCACACAGCTCTCACAGGTCTGTCTCTCACCCAGTTCTTGTCTTCCAGGGCAGTTGGTAGCTTTTCTTGGTGAGCTGATGGATACAGCCTCCTGCAGCCTTTCTTACCACCTTGTTTTTAATTTTCAGGGCTGTCCCACATGGTGAGCAGTCACAGCCTCCAGTAGTGCCTGGCCCCTCCCTCCAGGAGATGGTAACTCTCCATGGAGAGCGTTGGTGGATGCCTGTGAGCTGCTCTCTCTGCTGATTGAAGCCTGTTCAGTGATTCACTGCCCAGGATAAACCAGGTAAATCAAATGAGCTCCTCTGTGTTCCTGGTGCTGCCCCACTTCTCTTTGTGTGTCCCCAGACCCTGTGGGGCAGGGGGGAAGGCAGGGAGCAGCACCTGGCTCGAGTGTGCTGCAGGCTCAGATTTCCCTATGGAAATGGGCTGAAAGGACCAGCCCTCTAGTCAAGAGGACGTGAGAATCCATAGCTTTCAAAGCCTGGAATGGCACTTGGAATGGGGGCAAAGGCTGCTCTTGGCTGTGCATCCTATATATCCTGGGATATTTGTACCATACTGCATCCATGTCCCAGGCTCTTGCACTGCAGCACTTCTGGCTCCCCATCAGAGGTCACGATGCAATCAGAGCAGCTGGTTATTTTGTTCTTTTTGGGACTGGGTTATCATCTTCATCATCTTTTTGTCTCAGAAGTTCATTTTACAGATAAATCCAACTCACTGACACACAAGTAAGTTCTGAGGTTTTTCTCCTGACATATTGAACATAATTTTCCTCTCCCCAGCTTTCCTCTCAAAACACTTTCAGATTTCTTCTCAGCTCAGGTTTCCAAATGCATTTGGGGAAGGGGGAGGGAAAAAAGGGTGTTACTTTTAACTATTTCATTAAAAAAGAGAGGAATTATCTCCACTGAAGTTCACTATCTGCCAGCACTAGGGTTTCTGCTCATGCTGTCTCCCACTGCAGAACTGGTTGCCTTGATGGAATCATGTTGAAGGGATCAGCAGGGAGGAGGTACCTGTGGTTGTTCACAGGCACATACAGATGAATCACACATGAATGTCATCTCCTCCAGTCTGAACAGCAACTCTCACAGTTACTTTAATGAAATACATTTGCTCCAACCATATTTGTGCTCTCCTTTACCTGTGAGTGAATTGCCTGTTAATGTTCATCCATCAGCAATAAAAACCCCTGGCTAGCCAGCTCATGTTTCCATTTTGCCATTATAGGACATCAGGACCCCTCCACATTGCTGTTACAGGGCATCATGACCCCTGGCTGAACTCCATAGTTGATTTTTAGCCAGGGCGCAGCCGGTCTTGGTTCTCAACTGCTGCAATACTCAGTGGGTTTCTCATTTAATGGTTTACATTTATGTGCTGACTTGGCTTCAGAAAGTGCTGTGCACTCTCTGTAGAACAATTACTTTAGAAAAATCATTTTGCCTTTCTAGCTCTCCTGGGCAAAAACATAGTAAAGGCTGAACAGTTCCTTACAGCTCAGGAAAATAAGACGTAAAAAGAGTAGGAAACATCCACTGGACAGGACGATCAGCAAGGGAATTTTACTTCTCCCAGGTGCCATCTCCTGACCTGGATGTTAGAGGTCTGCAAAGGATGCCTCAGGGTAATCACTGTGCTCTGTTGTGATTGGGATGTCACCAGAGACTCAGAGCTGAGACATGGAGTTGTTGAACTGTAGAAGAAAGGGAATATTCCTGAACTTGCAGAGGAAGACATTCAGAGCTTCCTGGGGAAAGAGAGAAAGGCCTGTTGAGGTAAGTAAATTGCTAGAGATGGACAAGGGTTCAAAATATTTCTCAAAATTTATCACATTTGATTACTCAGTTCTTAGGGCAAAGTGAAGAGGAAATGAGGATTAAAATAATCTATCTCCTGTTCTCCAGCAAGTGGACCTGCCCCTGTTCCCAGCAGTGCAGTCACCCTGCTGAGCCTGCTGTGAGGCTGCCTGCAGCTCTCCAGGGCACCATCCTCAGAGGAAGGCAGCTGCTCCTTGACAGCAAATCTCCAAAACCATGCTGGAAGCTGTTGTTTCTCAGTGCATCTTTTAGAGGGCCACGCTAAACAACCCTTTGCTTCTGCCTCAGCATTGCAGAACACAGTGCAGAGGAGGGAGCCTGCCTGCCTTGCCCCTTTATGGCAGTAAAATACCAGCTGTAGGCTTTTTGCCTCAGGAGAGGGTGGTGGGTACAGGCGTGAGAAGTCCCTCTTGCTCTGGGGACGAGGATGATTTCATCACCAAATTTGAACTGGTCATTTGAAACAGGGTAAGTTCAGCAGGAAGGTGTGTTTGTTTTGTGCCTGAGCCTGTGACCTGGAACAGCGCTGACGTGTGCAGGTGCGGCTTCTGGGGGAGTGCACACCCAGAGCAAGTCCCTATCCTTGTGTTCTGCTGGGGAGCAGAGGCCAGCAGTGCAGGTCACACTCCAGTCTCCCTTTCCTCGGCTGGGACTGGACCATCTTTCCCACAGGAGAGCAGTGTCCAGGAGCAGACATTTCACCCATCCTGAAGCTTGCTCTGCAGCAAACTGGCCTTTGCCAAGAGCACTTTTCCCAGCAATAGGGAAGGGCCCAAGGGCTCCTGCAGGAGCATTCCTGGCTGTGGCATGGGAGGTGATGGGTTACCTCACTGGGAGCCATTGGCAATTATTTATAACTGACAAATTATTTAATTACCTGGACTGATTTTTTTTTCTGTCCTGAATGTGTGCCTCAGGCAGAATATATTTAGAAATCTGTTACATGGTTTGGTCAACTGTTCCTTAGATGTTGTAAGGGCATTAAAAAAAAAAAAAAAAAAGCGCACACACATAAACACAAAGCACACAAAAAGAAAAAAAGGAGTTCTTTCCCCTTGTTAAAAATGTGGGGTTGTACTATTGACCTGAAAATGCCCAGCAACTCTGACACCCACCTAGAGGCAGTGTCCTGCTCTGATGGGTGCTGCAGTCAGGGTACCCCCCGAGCACCACAGGTCACCGAGCTATCACCCTGCTCATTTTTGTGCCTCTGCTGCTGGATGATAAATCAGGATGCAGAACTGGCCCAGCACATTCACAGACTGCAGGACATGGCTATGAAATGAGTTTAGTTCCGAATGTGTCTTTTTCTCCAGTGTCTTGGCTCATTAATTGCCACGTGGGGATGCCACCTCCACAGGGTGCTTGGGTAAAGCAAGCACTGTATGGCCACAAGGAGCAGGTACCAAGCAGTGTGCTCCTTGCCTCAGTTTCCCTTTACAGAGATAAGAGTGGATCCACATGAACCCCTTCTCTGGGTACTGGGAGAGTGAGTAAGTCACTGGTGAAATGTCCCATCCCTGTGATGTGGGAGCACCCTTGCTTTCCCAGGTCACCATGGGAGGACTGTGGTCCACTCTCTGTTTTGGGCACCTCTCAGCTGCTGGACTGGAAAACCCCTTCCACCTGGCTGTATTTATTCACAGGACAAGGATTAGTGCTTGTTCAAGGCTTAGAGGAAATTTGTCACCTTGTGTTTGAGTGAAGGCCATTGGCACTGTAAATGGCCTTTCCCAGCAGCCCTGCCTGCAGACCAGTTTGTTGTTCCTCTGCAGCTCAGGTGAGCCTGTTCCTAACCCTTGGGCCCACAGGGAGACACCCTGAGAGCCTGTCTCTACTTGACCAGCAGGTTACAGCTGAGCTTTATCTTCTCTGGCCTTTTTGAAACAGTTTGGGGCCCCAGTCCACCACTGAGGACAGCAGAGCAATATGATTGCCTTCTTCTTCTCCAAATCTGGCAGAGGATTTTACTCCTCACTGCCTGCAAATCATTCAGCATCTTCAATTTGTCACAGCAGAAGTCAACTTCCATTTCAACTGCCCTTGAAGATGAACATAGGCAGCATTTCCTCCTATGCAAACTTCTGATGGTCACTGGCTGCAGTGACAAATTGCAGCTTTGTTGGCTCCATGGGCAGGGACCATCTAAATCTGTGATTCTGTGGGTATTTTTGCACAGCTGTGTACCCTGTCCAGGCTAAGTAAATAATGAGTAATGACCATTAAATGATTAATGAGATGCTAGCAAAAATAATGGCAGCATTGTAAAATGTAGTTTATCTTCACTAATGATGTTCTCTGGAGATTAGATATTCCTGTGTTCTGCCTTGTAACTTCATTAAAGCACCAACATGCAGCTGACTGCCAGTGAGGAAATATGTGGCTTAGCTCTGTGTTGTTCTTCTTAAGATCTCATTATATATTGCTGTCCTAGCCATTAGCACTTTGCTTTTTGGCTTACTTAGAAGCCTTATTTCCTGATCTCTGCATTACCCCAGTCTTGACCTAATTCACACCATTTCTGACTGAGAGGGAGTTTTGTAAGGCCATTTATCTGCTTGGCTTGGAGCTGATGCTGCAGTGACATCATTTGAGATAGAGTCTCTTCTCAGCTAAGAGGGAATTAAGGACTAAGATGGAGAATGAAGAAAGCAGACTGATCTCTAAATATTGCAGCTCAGAGATTTTTCAGACTTTTTTTCTGATTTGCTAATAAATACCCACATATCTACTGATGTTTAGCTAGGGGTATTTCTGTGTGTCTTGTTTTTATTTTGTGGTGGGGTTTTTTTGTTTGTTGGTTTGATTGTTTTGTTTGTTTTTTGTTTTGTTTTGTTTGTTTGGGTTCTTTTTGTTGCTGTTGTCCTTTTCAGACACTCAAAATTAAGCTCCAGCCCTGAGGTATCTACAGTTTACAGGATGAAAACCACTGATAGCAAACTTTTCTTGAGAGATCAGTTTGTCTTCAGTTTGCAGAGATGTTA